CTGTGGGGGGTGAGGGGCTGGGGGGCTCAGCCTGAAAGGGAAGGAGTTCCGGAGGAAGGACTCTGAGGTGTGATGACGTGACTTGGGCGGAGGGACCGCTTCCTGCAGAGGCAACCTGCCCGGCCTCTGTTCCGTGCCGTCTGGGCCTTGGGGAACCGGGAGGAACCCAGCCCCGGAACTCAGGGTGCGGGGCCCACAGACGGAGCCTTCTGTGTCCCCGCCCCTCCCCCGAGAGGTGGGTGTGACCTTTCCTCTTCCCACAGCCCTGGTCTGACCCCGTGTCCGGCCGGCTTAACTGTGGTTGAACTTCAACCTATGAACCCAGAGGTCTCGGTTCCATTCCGGGTCTGAGGGGTCCATGGGGGAGGCCCTGGGGGGCTGGGGTAGAGGCACCTGCCTCAGTATTTGGACCCCGGTGTGCACACTCAGTCCCAGCGGCTCCTGACTCGGGATCGGGGGATGGGCTGGGTTAGGTGGGGGTGGCCCAGTCCTGTGTCTGGCCAGCCTCACTCTGCTCTGAGCCCCCGATTTCCAGCCACCGTAGAGCCGGTCTCTGGCCCCAGCTGGCCGGGGGTCACCCACACAGAGGCACCGGCTCCAGGCTCCCGACCCCCGGGCAGTCCCTGCTCCAGGACCAGAGGGGTCTCTCCCTGCAGAGGGCGACCTCGGCCATGCAGAGCAGCCCGCCCAGCCCTGCCTCCCCTCCGCCCCGAAGCCACGTGAAGGTTCCATTCATTCCCCAGTGAGTCACTGAGACAAAGGTGGGGCCGCTGGCTGACCTGGGAGGATGTGCAGGGAGAGAAAACGTCATCACAAGCCGGGCCCTGGAGCTGGAGGGCCCAGGCCCAGGCAGGTGCCGGGGTGGCTGCCGCCCCCTGGACCACCATCTACAGGCCCCCAGGCCCCCGCGGGATCCTGGAGACCCTGAGCACAGCCCTGGGCAGTGGGCAGCAGCCCCCCCGCAGGAGCCCCACAAGGAAGGGCCTGGCCCGCCCACTGCCTGTGTCCAGAGCATCCAGACCAAGAGCCCTCAGGGGCCGGCCTGGCTCTGTGGTCAGGCTGCCTGTCCTGGCTCCTCGATAGTCACGTCAGCTCCCACAGCCTGGTCTGACCCCGGCCCGGCCCATGGCTGTGGTTGATCTTCAACCTATGAACCCAGAGGTCTCGGTGCGATTCCGGTCGGGGCACGTGCCCGGGTTGTGGGCTGCATCCCCAGTGTGGGGCGTGCAGGAGGGACCCCGGAGGGGACCAGGGCAGACACTGGGCTCGCTGGGCCCTGCTCACCTGGGAGCAGGCTGCGTCCGTGGGGTCAGGTGTGGGGTGGGGTGCAGGGCTGTGACGTCCTCCTCATCATTGTTTCTCTCCCTCCCTCTCCATCTCCCTTCCTCTCTGAAATAAATATATTTTTTAAAAAGACCCAGTGTGTGCACGCGTGTGTATGTGCACGTGTGTGCGTGCCTATGTGCAGTCCCTGTGGGCTTATACACGTGTG